TGTATATAATGACTTTAAATCACCGCTTTCATCCTAATGATTATCATTCATTTTCTAGTCCTCGAAGTTGATCGAGGTAACTTCAGTATTTATTTAGTGTCGAATTTAGGAGCTTACAAAATAAATAACATATTATCGTGTCTCAATAAATGTCACGGGCCTCTAAGTATTTAATAAACAATCTGTACCCAATTATAGCTTCAGTAGATATGAGAGTTACACGTTTGTTGCCCTCTGGTGCAGAACAAAGGCACACGCACAGTAGTGGAAATAAACCGCGGTGCTCTGTTTCCTTGTAGGGACTGAGAGAGGGAAACTCGGAAAATATGTGTGGGAGGAAATACGTTTTAATAATGGCTCTGGGTAATACACCTAAAAGCATACAGCTCCTCCCCCTCGACTTGGTGCCCGCGACTCCAGCCCCTCGTACCATGTCGTCTTCGGACTGAGTAGCTGTATAATGCAGCCCAGGAAGGTCTACAAGTCCTTACTTCGTTGTGATACAGTACCGCAAAACAAGCACCGGCGAACATGTCTAATCACGTTTCAAAAATAGCACCCGGACCCACTAACATGGAGTCGCTGTGAGGAGCTGCTAATTATTGAATTGGCAGAGAAACTTCTCCCCTTTCGCGGAACCCAAAGCCTAACCACTAAATTAAAAACTCATATCCTGGCAGGACAAATCCAGTCCGAAGATTCACAAATTATTCTTTAATATTCCTATTAATGTTATCCTCTTATCTGTGTCTAGGTCTCCAACGTTTTCCTCCATTCAGTTTTCACGACAAATATTTTATGTGTATATTTCAGCTCCCCTATCCTTATCCTCCTGTCCTTCAAGACTTATCCAGTTACACAGAACACTTTGTGGACTACTGTTGCTGTTATAAGTGCACATCTCGACTTCCTGCACCGGGATGTCCGTTCTGGTTTGGCCTGTCACATGAGATGTTTGCTAATTCGCGCAATCTGAGAATATTTTACTGTATTGTAATGCAGTTTTCTCGGTTGGTGTGCCTACGGCATTTAGAATTCAAATACATGTAACAGCAATTCCAACAGTGCAATAGTCCTATAGCAGTGAGATCTTGTTCACACTTGTTTCGTCATCTTATCAACCTGTGCTGCTGTTTCTTTGTTAAATTATTTCTGCTTCAGTATTGACATCTTGCCAGCAAATATATTTTACTGTTTGTTAACAAGTTTCAGGATTTGTTGACGTATCAGTTCATACCAGAAGACCGCCTCTGTGGTCTAGTGGTCAGAGTTCCTGGCTACAGATCCAGAGGTCCGGGTTCGATTCCCGGAGTTACCAGATTTTCTGAGAAGTAATGGGTCTGGAACGGGGTCCACTCTGCCTCGTGAGGATAATCGAGGAGCTATCTCAAGGAAATAGCGGCTCCGGTCTAGAAAACCGAAATTAACGGCCGTGGGGATTCGTTGCGCTGACCACGCGACGCCCTCTATCCGCTGAAGTTGGCACTAACTTTCCAGACAAGCGGCTGTAGCTCAGTCGGTATAGTTCGCTTGCTGACTAAAGCCACGGAGTTTGTTTTGTATTGGCTACAGGCTGGATGGCCCGGGTTCAATTCCCGGCAGCGCAAGATGTTTCCCTTCTTCACAGCGTTCAGACCGGCTCTGGGGCCCACCCAGTTTCCTATCCAATGGGTACCGGGGGCTCTTTCTCCGGGGTAAAGTGTTCGGGGCGTTAAGCTGACCACTCATCTCCAAGCATTTTGTGTCGTATCTAGCCGTGAATGGCGAATCTCGCCTTATCCTCCTCCACCCACGCCATCTCTTGGCAATTTCCGCTCACAGATGGAGTTTTTCCAGTCACCTTGCCACAACACAACCGAACCATGGACTGGGCTGTGATCAAACGCGAATGAAGCCTTGTAATAAACACGCTAAGGCTTTAGAAACTTCTGAACAAAGACAGTGCTGAAATTTAATTAAGAAAAAGATTACATTAAGCAGGCATGGGACCCTTCGAAGTGCCAGAGGTCGCCGAATATTCCATTACCTTTCCTAAGGATGGGAAGTCGCGTAAATTAATGAAACATTGACATCTTCAGGCGAGTCATTCAAGTACTGCAGTTAGTGTGAGGGTAATGAATTGCAGCAACTTTACACATTTCTTCGTTAATTCTACTTTACTTGCCATATCTTGTAAATTAAGAGAGACGTCTACTGGTATATCTATCGTATGTCTCTCATGTATCCGCCCTAGCTTATAACGTTTGAACTGTCAGATCGTTACGAAACGTAAAATGAAGATCATGTCATTAGCACCACCCCCACCTTTTTACTTACTAATTTCCCGTCGCCAATAATAGCAACAGCGGCTGTGCGAATTTCCGAGGTGCAAGCGGCACTTCTTGCCGAGCGTGTTTAAGACTTTCGTTTTGCAGAATGTAAGAAAACAATATGCTGACTACACGGCGGCCCGGGTTCGAGCCCAGGTCTGGTCAAGTGGAATTTGTGGTGAACAAAGTGGCGCTGGGATAGGTTTACTCCGAGTACTTCAATTTCCCCTGCCAATCTTCATTCCACCAAACTCTCCATAATCATAATCACCCGGGGCAGGTATAATAGGCCAATCAGTGGCGACGTGCCGAGTGGACCCAGCTGGACTCCCCCCCACCCCCCCACTATGCGAATTAAAAAAAATACTGACTACGCGAATCCGTATTTTACTTCCCGTTTCCTTTAGGCTATACTGCATAATGGTTAATGATAATAACAACTAGGGCCGGTCACGGTAGCCGAGCGGTCTAAGGCATGCACTGTCTTCGCTCGCTCGGAAGCCGGGATCGTGGGTTCGAATCCCACTCAGGGCATGGATGTTTAGTTTGTGTGTGCGCGTTTTTCTGTGTTTGTGTACAGGTAGAGGCCTTGCGACGAGCTGATCACCCGCCCAACGAGTCCTACCGACTGTGTAAGATGTAGAAAAACCGAAGTGAACGGAGAGTTTCATGGAGTTAGGCCTAGGCCCACTGGGGCTGTAGTGCCAAGGAAAAAAAAATAACAACTAGGGTAATATAAAGTGAGTGACGTACTTGGACAGTGGCTTCTCAATGTGGTGTCCCAGGGCAGTCTACGTGGATCTTCTGATGGACAAAGTGGCACCGGGGCGATTTTTTCTTTCAGAATTTCAGTCATCATTGCACCAATGCCCCATACTCACCTACAGTATCCCTTGAGCTGTACAGCAGACTCAGTTAGCCAGGAAGTTATCACATCCTTGGCCTCCTCCTGCGATTCAACACTTTCTGTTGTTCAGTGTCCTTGTACTGGGATGAAGGGAAAGCGTTGTACTTAAAAAGCAAGTAAACATTGTATAAAATGAAGACAATTGTTTTACGGCACGAAGTTAAGGGAGGAGGCGGAAGGGAAGCCTAATGAGGGAACACAGGAGTAAATAAGGCAATGTAAACACTGTTAACCAGAATTACCTACAACATTTACTTCTTATTTCTAAGAAAACACACTGCGTTTCATAGCGTGGTCTTTTGGGTTCCGACACCGTGTAGTTTTGTAGGTGGTAACAAACGTTTCGGAGGAACATGCTACCCCTATCATCAGGGTCAACTTGAAGATGAAGGTGTCACAACCCAGAAGACCACAACCTGAGCGCTCACTTCCATGAAAACGTCAAATCTTATGACACTGCGTTGCAAAGATTAGTTTGTTAATGCTGGATATTTATTTTGAGAATCATACGAAACCCACAAATAAAGTATGTGGGAAAAATACAGAAATTGTAAAAGTAGTATTAATGCAGATCCTGAAAGAAACAGGTATCGATTGGCATGAAAGAAGATTGATTAGCAAATTGTACATGGATCAGAAAGTTAGAGTACGACTGGACAGGGGAGAGACAGGAAGTGTGCAGATTGGAAGAGGAGTTCGACAAGGATGCTGTTTATCACCAATTCTGTTCAACTTGTACAGCGAATGCCTTACCAAGGAAGCTCTGGATGGGCTCGGTGACTTCAAAGTAGGAGGGCAAATTATTCAAACTGTGAAATATGCAGATGACCTTGTGTTAATGGCTAAGGAAGAAACTGTGCTACAGGGCATGATTGATAGACTAATTGAAATTGGAAGGTGCTATGGCATGGAAATGAATGTGGAGAAAACAAAAGTAATGAAAATTTCGAGACAACCAACCCCAGTCACAATAAAGATAGACCAAAAACAAGTGGAGAATGTGAAATGTTTTAAATATTTGGGTAGCTTGTTAACAGATGATGGAAGGTGTACTTGTGAAATTAAATCCAGGATTGCCATGGCAAAAGCTGCATTTAGCAAGAAGAAGAATCTTTTTACCAGCAAATTGGACTTAAATTTGAGGAAGAAACTAGTGAAATGCTACATTTGGAGCATAGCTCTGTATGGGGCTGAAACATGGACACTTAGGGCAGTAGATCAGAAACATCTGGAAAGTTTCGAAATGTGGTGTTGGAGAAGAATGGAGAAGATCAGTTGGACCGATTATGTGAGAAATGAAGAAGTGTTAATTAGAGTCAGTGAGCAGAGGAATATCCTACATGAAATAAGAAAACGGAAGGCTAATTGGATTGGTCATGTTTTACGCAGAAACTGCCTTCTAAAAGAAGCTATCGAAGGAAAGATAGATGGGCGGATAGAAGTGACAAGAAGACGAGGAAGAAGACGTAAGAAGATGCTGGATGACCTTGGGGACAGAAGAGGATACTGTCATTTGAAGGAGAAAGCTCTAGATCGCATTAAGTGGAGGAATTGTTTTGAAAGAGACTGTGGACCTGTCGTCTTGACAGATTACTGATACTGATAGGAGTAGTCCTTTATAGAGCTAAAAGACTAGGTCTATTTTTTTTATGAGGGACTTATGTCTAATTAACCTCGTTTAACCTGTTGCTTTGTAATACAAACATTAACTTTCTGTTTCTTTGCCTTAGAAATGTTCAAATTATACTTCATTTGTTTAACGCGACAAGAAGAACTCAAATATATACTTTTAGCATTATTTAATCTTCTTAGATCTGCGACTATCGAGCCACTCTGCAATTGTTAGTTGTTGGAAACTGGTTACAAATATCTTGTAAGCCAGTTCAGCGGAAACAGTCCCGTCGTCATATAATAGCACCATCCCAACACTCGCTGGCATGTCCGTAGTCGCGGGTAGTTCGTACGTAAGCAATCCCTGACGGCATCCTGACCTTCTCAACTCCGCGAGGGAACAGCTTAGGCAGGTCTTCTTCCTCTACCTCTGGCACCACCATCACTTCCTTGCCCATCTGGAACAGCATAGCACCCAACTGTACAGTGTGTCCCAAGTGTCATGGTGGTGTTTCAAAATATTGTATGTATTAAACGGAATAGTTTCTTCCACGTGTTTATTGAAATACTATGTGGGCGTGTTCAAATGGCAGCTCCGGAAGCCACAAAAAAGTAAAAGTATCCTGTAACCGGCCGTGGAGACCCATAGGGTTGTGAGATGTTGAGGTTCCCACATTTTATAGACAGTCGGATCGTAGATGGCGGCAAGGTTGTCAGCCTTACGCGCCGGCCGCCCTTCACCCCCAAGAATATTCCTGGTACTCATTTCTGTTAGAGGCTGAATCGGTCCCAGGGCCATGATGCGGCTGGAAGGATTAGGTCAATTGAAAAAATCAAATGTCCTCACCGGGAATTGAACCCGCGACCTTCAGGCTTGTAGCATAGTGCTTCAACCAACTACGCTACCGCGTGCCCCTCCGGAAGACTACAATTGGAAATAGCTTCTCAGCAGAATGTCGGATCCTAGAAAGGATTAAACAAGGGAGGATTTCGGATATTACATAAAGACATTTTTTTACAGACCACCTAATTGTGTTAGGTTAGTCAGCTCTCGGAGCCTATGATGGGATGAACACATAGCTTGGGTTTGGAAAGCAATGGATGCACAGGCCGATACTCGTCGATTTTGGTGGGTGAACTTTTTGGAAAACAGTCACTTGGGAGACCGAGGAGACGGGGGGATTGCGGTAAAATGGATCTTAAGTAAGTACGTTGTAAGGATCAGTGGTAAAGGGACCTAACTCAACATACTTCACCTTATACCTTTTGGGCATGTGCCTCGTAAAATGCCTTGCCTAGAGCAGGCAACCTCCTCCAGCACTACTCTCCATCTACACGGTGCATTCAGTATGTTCCGTCCGTAACGACATTTTCATGGCGATATTTGTTGTTATCGATATAAACTTTTGCATAGCATACGAAATTTCGTACATCTTACGCCGAGGATTCCGTTGCGCTGACCACGCGACAGCCTCTGTCCGCAAAAGTCGGCACTAACTTCGCCGATAAGCGGCGGTCACTCGGTCGGTATAGTTCGCTTGCGGACTACGAGCCACGGAGTTTAGTTTAATTACAGTCAACAAGTAACAGGAATCATAATCCGTAATAGAAGCAGAACGCAATTGTCTCGTTACCGAAAAAGTAGGCTTCTCGACACATGAAACAGGCTACATACCGTCCAATCGGCAGGAGTGACAACTCTCAGCCTCTCCGTAAGTTGAAGAGAGTCTATCACCCTTAGTATTTCACTGAAACAGAACACAAAGTCCTAATTAGTTCTCGTGAAATCATGTTGGTGGTAAGGTGAGAAAAGATAGAATATATACAAAGTATTTTATTCCTGTTTGTGTTAACATTAGAAGTATGGCGACGACACGAAACTTGAGTGGCTGAGCAACTACTGGCTTGTCAGAAGAACTGAGTTCCATTGAGTTAGTTAATGAAATGTGGAGCGTTTACCTATCTTCATTAGATGTCCGTAGACTTCCCCGCTCCAAAGCAAGCACTAAAACCTACGACAGCAATAATAATAAAGGTAAAGTTTTTCCTGTGCTTAACTAATTAAGCACTACGCCATGAAGGCGTATGAGGGAGTGGATGTATAGTTCCACATTTTCTTGACCTCGGCACTAGTTGGAGGTCAGTGGTCAGCTTCACGCCCCAGCCGCTTTACCCACGGGGAAAGAGCCCCCGGTACACATTGTATAGGAGGTTGGGTGGACCTCAGAGCCGGTGTGGGCGATTTAGGGAGCAGAAAATTCTTGACCCTACCGGGACTCTTAACACTGACCTCTTGGTCAGTCGCTATACCGACTGCGCTATCCCGGCTCCTATAATAATAATAATGACAAAGTACGTGGATGTTTCCGAAAGAGCAGTCTCTAAGGCATCACTCGTTTTCGATAGCTCTAATTTGATTTCGTGGTAATGACCTTGCAGGTAAATATCCCTCATGGAACCTGATACTCATTCGTTATCTAATCTTTTAAAGTTAATATTGTTTTTGGCGTCTCTTTGAAGCAGAGCATTTTTAAGGGAAGATGTAACATTCTCGTAAGCCTAGTAGGAACGCTGCGGATGTTTCAACTGAAACTAGAATAATTACAGCACGTCTCACCTACCCTGGATACAGGTGTAATTTTGTTGCCTTGGTTTTTAGTAAGATACAGAAAATTATCCTTCGCTCCCGTTTATGTATGGAGCCGGGAAAGCGTAGTCGGTATAGCGATTGGGTATGGGCTGCCCGACCAAGGGGTCGGTGTTCGAGGTCCGGTAGGGTCAAGAATTTTCTTTTCTCCACGTCGTTAAGACCGTCTCTGAGGTTCACCTAAGCTCCTATCCAGTTGGTACCGGGGGCTCTTTCCAGGGAGTAAAGCGGCCGGGTCGTGAAGCTGACCGAGGTCAAGAAAATATGGATCTATAAAAGCACTCCCCCTTACGCCTTCATGGCGTAGTGCTTAATTAGTTAAGCACAAGAACATTTTTTTTTCCTTGGCACTACAGCCCCAGTGGGCCTAGGCCTACCTCCATGAACTTCTCCGTTCACTTCGGTTTTTCTAGATCTTACACATTCGGTAGGGCTCCTTGGGCGGGTGACCAGCTCGTCGCAAGGCCTCTACCTGTACACAAACACAGAAAAACACACACAAATTAAACATCCATGCCCTGAATGGGATTGTAACCCACGATCCCGGTATCCAAACGAGCGAAGACAGTGCACAAGGACAACTTTACCTTACACATTTTTGTTTGTACTAGAAATCTGTAGGAGCCCCGTTCAGCTCAAGCTGAATGTATATGAGGTTCACTTCGCTTCCAATTTATGTTCACGCCGAAAATCTCCGTGAGGTTCCGTTCATTTCTGATTTACGTTCAGAAAATATAAATTATATTCCCCTTTATATAATTTGTATACACGTTGCAACTATGTATGGGACTTCCCTTTATTTCCAGTTGAAACGGATCTGTGTTCTGGCATTACGTGTTGCCGTCGGCCAGTCTTCTCGTTACATAATATGAATTACGCAGGATCTGTAGAATTGTTCGTTTTTCCGATGGCTTTATCACAGCTACCCAGAGTAGGTGTTGAAGGTCGTAGCTTCGCACCAGAAGCCTTGAATGTCACATCTAACCGTCAGCTTAAAGCCAGGTGCAGTCTATCTGACAGAACATACGTACATGAAATGATGCCAGATTTTGAAACTAACGCGAGTTCGAAATTGCTACAGCACGTGGGAAATTGGGGCATTTGAGACAAAGTACTGTAACAGCAACACATTAGAGAATGTTATTAATGATCTAATTTGCTGGCTATATCTACTCCTTTTAACGCAATTTAGCCTGGTCCTAAAGTGACAATTGTGAACTTGGAGATTCATACTAAATTTCGCATTATGACTAGAAAGCACAGAAACTGTTATAAATACAAACCACTCCGTCCAATGTGACATGTAAGTTTTTACGTTAAAACTTATCTCCCTTACATGTTTCGGTCCTTACGGGCCATCTTCAGAGGGAACATCATTACAAATTGTTAGTGTGACGGATCAGAATGAAACAAATCAAATTTATCGAAGCTAGTCAAGCTAAACTGGTAAATCAATTCATCAATACGAAAAGGAAACTACTAAGAATTGTTAGTGTGACGGACCAGAATGAAACAAATCAAATTTGCAGAAACTGAGTTGATAACTGGGCGCAATACTTGCACTTACAATTTATCGTGGTTCTTATTAATTTTACGGTGGAACTGTATTCTGTTTTAGTAGCTGCTGCATTGCGTGAAACATGTACAACTCTTTGTCACTAATCAACATATTTGTATGTTCATGTGATTACGCGGGTTGCTAGACTTTGTTTCTTCCCTGCCCTTTCTTTTCGGTTTAATTTTAAGAAAGCTCAGTCGGATAACGTGTAATTGTTTGTGGGGCTACAGTGCTGATGCTTCAATTAAGTAATAGGCCTTAGGACCGCCTCTGTGGTCTAGTGGTCAGAGTTTCTGGCTACGGATGAAGAGGTCGGGGTTCGATTCCCGGCGCTACCAGATTTTCTGAGAAGTAGTGGGTCTGGAACGGGGGGCACTCAGCCTCATGAGGATAGCTGAGGAGCTACTTGAATGGAAAAGTAGCGGCTCCGGTCTAGAAAACCGAAATTAACGGCCGTGGGGATTCGTTGCGCTGACCACGCGACACCCTCTATCCGCTAAAGTTGGCATTAACTTCGCCGACAAGCGGCGGTCGCTCGGTTGGTATAGTTCGCTTGTAGATTAAAGCCACGGAGTTTGTTGTTTGTTGTAGCAGGCTTTAGAGCTTCATAACTTGTACTCTTCACCAAGTATAATTGGAGAAAGCAGTCTTCTGGGATTTGGCACCGTGTATATCCAGAAGACTGCTTTCTTCATAGTCACCGCCGTGAAAGCCTCAAATCTTACAAAGTATAATTGGAATTATCAAGTCAAGGAGGATGAGGTGGGCAGGACATGACGAAGAATGCATATAGGAAATTGGTGGGAAAATCAGATGGTAAGAGACCACTGGGAAAACCAAGGCGTAGGTGGGTGGACAATATTAAAATGGATCTTAGAGAGATAGGATGGGATGGTATGGATTGGATTGATCTGGCTCAGGATAGGGACCAGTGGAGGGCTCTTGTGAACACGGTAATGAACCTTCGGGTTCGATAAAACGCTGGGAAATTCTTGAATAGCTGCAGAATTGGCGGCTCCTTCCAGAAGGACTCAGCTCCATGAGTAAGTGTGTTCGTATCCATCTTCAAGCGGAGAGGTGTCTCCGGTTGAACTCCTAACATAAACCACTCGTCCTTATTAGTTTCATTTGTCTGTCTGCATATGTAAGATCTCATCGTCTCAACAGCTGCGATAGTCCAGCCAGTAACATGACGGGCAACTGTGGACACATTTAACTTCACCATCTCCACGTCCGCACTTGCTCGGAGGTCCTCAAGCCTTTTATCCAAAATGTAAAGGAGACAATTTTACCTACTGTCTTACACTAGTCTAAAACTCTGTCTCTCTTACTTACTTACTCACTCATGGAGCTGAGCCCTTCTGGAGGAGCCGCCAATTCTGCAGCTACTCAAGAATTTCCCAGCATTTTATGGAACCCGAAGTTTCATCACCGTGTTCACAAGAGCCCTCCACTGGTCCCTATCCTGAGCCAGATCAATCCAATCCATACCATCCCATCCTATCTCTCTAAGATCCATTCTAATATTGTCCACCCACCTACGCCTTGGTCTTCCCCGTGGTCTCTTTCCTTACGGCTTTCCCACCAATATCCTATATGCATTCCTCGTTTCCCCCATTCGTGCTACATGCCCTGCAAACCTAAGAAAATAAAGAGAGTGTATCTGGGAAGAGGGTGCTGAGGAGAACACTCGGACCTACGAGAGAGGAAGTGTCAGGAAGGCGGTGAATTCTACGTGAACAGGAGCTTCGTAATTTTCTCACTTCACGAAGTGTAATGTGGATGATCAGATGTAGGGCGATACCATTGGTTGAAATAAATCCTAACAGTAAAATCTAATGCAGGCTTTCTAATGTAGATTCGAGAGTTTTCCTAACTACAGTTCCCACTTTCCTCACGGAATGACCATAAATTGCCATAGAGGTTTCGTCTCCACGTCTCACAATTGCTAATCAATAGTCCAGTGTTCAACGGTACATAACTGATTTCCCTGTGAGTCATCCTCAAGCCTGACATCGATATGTACAACAATGCAGTAACCGAGCTTCATATGCTCCTTGCAGTTCGAGGTCTCACTCACTCCACTGAATGACTGAACCTTCTAAGCGGCAGTGATTATACGAGTAATGCACGTACTTTTATCCAACAAAATGTATTTATGTTTTTTTTAATGCTAGTTGGGTGGGACTAAGTCCCTTGTACTGCGGCCACTTCTGGCCTATTGTACCAGCCCCAGATGATAGGTGAGGGTGATTGTGGAGCAATTGGTGGAATGAATATTGGCAGGGGAAACCGAAGTACTCGGAGAAAACCTGCCCCAGCGCCACTTTGTCCACCACAAACCCCACTTGACCAGACCTAGGATCGAACCCGGGCCGCCGCGGTGGGGAGCCAGCGACTAACCGCTTGAGCTACGGCGCGGCCTCATTTATGGGTTTAGTATTATTCTCAGAATAAAGTGATACTTCCACAACACTGAGCAATTGGTCTTTGTGATGGAAACGCAATGTGTTTCCTGTAAGGTACAAAATAATTTTTTAAATAATATGAATATCAGGGTTCAGGTTACTGGATATTGTAGGCCTATAGCTACCGTTCTCACCAAACGGACAATAATTACAGTGATCCCTGTGGCATTTCCTTCCATAGTTTAAGTGAATACTTAACAGCAGTTTTAGACATAATTTTTAGACGATGCGTTCTATCTCAATGTTGTATGTATAAGATATTTTCGTGACATTCCGTAGTAAGGTTATGTCATTGCCGGGTTCGATCCCAGGTCTGGTCAAATGGGATTTGTGGTGGACAAAGTAGCGCTGGGGCGGGTTTTCTGCGAGTACTTCGGTTTCCCTTGCCAATCTTCATCCCACAAGATTCTCGACCAACATAATCACCCGGGACTGATACAACAGGCCAATCAGTGGCCGCCGTGCCGAGTGGACCCAGTTGGACTTCACCCCCCACTAAGCGAATTAAAAAAAAATAAGGTTATTATCATTAGAGGTGAATTCATGGCTGTACTTACATAGTTCCCTGCTGTCGACAATACCGGTACAGCGGCCCTGAAAAATTGGGCCCAATATAGGATTTAGAGTTGTTATTGTGACATACCTGTTTATATTTCACAGAGGTACGCTAATTGCTTGTTCTTGAGTACATGTAAATGGACCTTACGAAAGTCATGTTAGTGACCTCATTCTTAGTGATACATGTTTTCTTGCTAAAATCACTATAGGTCCTGCTCATTTTTTTTGTTATAACTGCAGTATTATCAAATATGAAGGCCAAATCAGTCCAATTTCTAAGCACGTGTATAAAGTGATCGTTAGCTTATGCCCCGCATATAGCAATGAAATGCTGTTGAACGTAAGGCTTCATAAGAATGCAGTTCATCTTATGTTATTCCACGTACGCCTAGTCTTTGATTTCAATGGTGAGTCAATACCAGCTGTATATATTTTGCTGGTGTGACAGCAGATATCGGCCGTGGGAATCCGCTGCGCTGACCACGTGACACCCTCTATCCGCAAAAGTTGGCACTAACTTCGTCGACAAGCGGCAGTCGCTCGGTCGGTATAGTTCTCTTGCGGACTATGAGCCATGGAGTTAACAGTAGATATGTTTCAAAGTAAATCGTTTCTTTCCGTCATCATAAATAAATTTAAGAAAGCTAATTCCATGAAACAGATTTCTTCTTGAGAAAGTAACAGTTGCTTAACTGTTCACGAAATTTCTTACCTTTTGTGGAACGGCAAGGTTCATTTCTCTGTTTATAAGTGCCCGCCTCTAGACCGTATCTCGATCTACTTCAGTTCACGTCGTATTTCCGAAGATCCATCTTCTTTTTTCTCCCATCAACTCCTAATCTCCATCAGGTTTTTCAAATGGCAGCTATTTTGTATATATTCTTTGTCCATGCCCTGCCCATCTCATCATACCTGATTCTGTGAATCATGCAATTCTTGGTGTTATTTGATCGTTGACACTATACAGCGTCTGTGGATAGGATACTGATGAATTGAAAAGGATTTGGAAGGAAGCGATCTTGGCCCGAATCAAGCAAATCCCGGGATTTGCCTCGACGGACTGAGGAATAAAGCTAAAAAAGTAAAGGTATCCCTGTAACAGGCCGTGAAGGCCCATACGGTTGTGAGACGTTGAGGGTCCCACACTATCTAGAGAATCGTCTCAAAGATGGCGGTAAGGTTGTCAGCCTTACGCGCCGGCCGCGCTTTACTCCCCAGGAAAATTATTTAATTCCTGGTACTCATTTCTGTTAGAGGCTGAGTCGACCCTAGGGCCATAGTGCGGCTGGAAGGATTAGGTTAATTAAAAAAAATCCACCTCATCGGGACTTGAACGCACGACCTTCCGGCTTGTAGCATAGCCCCTCAACCAACTACGCTACCGCGTGTCCCTGGACGGACTCAGGAATGCCACGAAAAACTCTCAGCCAAGATAGCTGGTGCCCCTGTCGAGATTCAAACCAAGTTATTCCTGAATAGAATTCTAGAGCGTTACCTCTATACCAGCCTGTTCGGTAAGAATGCAAATTAAGAAGCTCCTCATTTTGCTGTCTTTCTGCATGTCTACTCAATCCGTCTTAATAAAAATATTCTTCTTGTCAGTTTCTTTGCGAACATCTTTAATCTGTGTTCTTCCCTTGTAAAAATGGTACTTACTGGACATTCCTACCCGTGGAGTTGGGGTAGAACATAGACAACTTAACTTTGAAGTCTGGGCCGATGATGTAGAGGGCTCGAATTGTACTGGCGACAACTGGATCCCAACGATTTTCGTCGTCCAACATGTCTAGTCGCACAGCCAGTTCACGGCTCTCGTCCGAGATGATGGGGTACGGAAACTCCAACGGGATGTTCCGGAAATACGACCTGATGTCCTAAAAAGTATACGAGAACTGTAGTTTCGGCTGTTTGCAGGGTATATATATCATGAACTGCTTTGGTCTTACTAGTCACGGATTTGTTAAAGCTAAGGGGCCCGAATATCGATAAAAGTTTTAATAGTATGCATCTTGTTGTGTCATAAAAAAGGTACATAAAATGTGTACAAAAGTATGCAGTCTACACAACAGTATTCTGTATTTAAAACGTAGACACACAGATGTTGATACGATAGTGTCTACTTTGTTTTAAATACAGAATATAGTTGTGTAGACTGCATACGTTTGTATACATTTTATGTACCTTGCCGACAACAGTTGTCGTACAGGCTGAGGTTCGACGGGCTGATCCCCGTGCAGAGGGTCCTATAAAATTTTCTATAGACAAGATTCCGCGACACGGGAAACTGGGATACCGTGGACCGCACTGGTGTATCGTGCCAAAGAAGATAAGAAGACGCAAACGTAATTGGTAATGATCATAGCAGCATAATCTTAAGGGAGAAAACTTACACATAACACGAGCGGCCTCCGTAGTCTAGAGGTAACGTTCCCACCTCATGACTCGTAGTACGCGGGTTCAAATACCCGGCGGAGTTCGTCCAATTTTTAAGGGCGGAAAAATTCAAGGACCAAGTCCTCCGGGAGGGACTTTAAGCCGTGGGTCCCGTGTCGTAGCTTTACGGCACGTAAAAGAACCCCATATCTCCAAAGGAGGTCACTGAGCCAAATTACGGACGTTTACCGCCCAAGAGCAGTCTCTAATACCTCTGGTAGATGGGGGAAGCATAATAGATACCTCTCAGCTAGTAGAGCCGGTCTCGCTGGCTGGGCGGGACTGATGGTAAGCACCAGTACCGGTAGGATATAGAGACTGGTAGAAATCATAGAGGGAAGCACAATGGACCAATACAGGTCTAAGTGCATGGGGAAATCCACCCTCTCCAATAACTAACTAACTAACTAACTAACAAACTACACATAACACGAATTAATATTGCAAAATCGGAGTGGTTTCATGATGTGACAATACGGTGGGTGTTTCGCGTCAAAGGTCACGAAAAAGAGAGATATATTAGAATAGAATTGAAGAAGTATGGTGAAAATTACATCACAATTGAAAGAAAGGGAAACCCCCTTGTAAATACTGCTTCTATTTGGAAGAGCCCAACACCTCACCTTAAGCCCACTTACCACTTCGAAGGAGAAGAGTGGGAATCAAGTTAATGAAATCTCTTACTTACGTACGCCTACATCATCACTCCATATGTCCATACAGAATGATGTTGTGCAATGACTTTCAGTTAACAGCTCGCTAATAACTACGGGGTGTCGGGGTTCGGCAGAGGTGACCCAATCTCGCGATACATATTGACAGGTGTTGACGCGTTTCATTTCTTCCGCTCCTGTGACATTATGTGCAGCTATTTCGTTACGTATGCATAGCACGTGATTACATCGGCGTCTCGATACATCTCGTTTTGATGGCCCAGTCGATAAATGACAATATTATAAGCAAACAAGGTAAAGATAAAGTTGTCCCTATGGTTAACTAATTAAGCACCACGCCATGAAGGCGTATGGGGGGGTCGATGTATAGACCCACATTTTATTGACGTCGGCAGTAGCTGGAGGTGAGTGGTCGCTTTACCCCCGGGGAAAGAGCCCCCGATACCCATTGGATAGGAGGTTGGGTGATCCCCAGAGCAGGTCTCCAAAACTTGGAGAAGAGAAAATTCTTGACCCTACAGGGACTCGAACTCCGACCTCTCGGTCGTCCAGCCCGTAGCTAGTCGCTATGCCGACTACATAAGCAAACAAGAGAAGCCTTAATTAAAGACTACAAAGGACATGGTTCTTCAAGTGGCAAGTTAAAATTACTGCATACTTTTACCACTGTAAAGGACGGCGGGGAACACTATATAACACACTCCGATGGCATGAGGTACCGACTGGCTACCGGCTGGACGACGGAGGGGTCCAAGTTCGAGTCCCGGTAAGTTCAAGAATTTTCTCTTCTCCACATCGTCCAGACCGGCTCTGGGGTTCACCCAACCTCCTATCCAACTGGTACCGAGGGCTCATTCCCCGGGGTAAAGCGGCCGGGGCATGAAGCTGACCACTCACCTCCAGCTAGTGCCGAGGTCAAGAAAATGTGGATCTACACATCCACTCCCCCATCCGCTTTCATGGCGTAGTCTTAATTAGTTAAAACATATGGACATATTCACTTCTTTACCTTTATGCTATGTTTTCAGTTAACGGTATTTATTCATATAAACAACAGAGAAAATATGATGAAGAAATATTCTTATGAATAACATTTTTAATTTTAATGATGGTAGATAGCCAACACGAATCTTAGAACTGTTACTTTAGTACCAATACACTATACCAGTATCTGGCTCATGTAAAATAAGTTCCCCGGCCACAAAATTCGAAGTTCGGTGGACAGCGATTTGCTTACTGCTAGTCTGTATTGCGAAAGTGCGAAGCTGAGACGCCAATATGAAGAACTCACGTCAAGCCATTTCTTGTGCTGCTGGAGCGAGTCGCAGGAGTGGCCCAGCAGCTTAACACCGCGACGGAAGAACTCGTTTGCCTCCTGTGCTATGCGTCCCAGTTCCGTCGTGCACACCGGTGTGAAGTCTGCCGGGTGCGAGAACAGCACACACCATCTGCAACAGTCAGCACTGCTGGACATCTGCCGGACAAGCCTGTGTAATGGATTACTTAAATGCTAGCTCGCTATTTGCAATATTCTGTCTATTTTAAGAACACCCACAACAAGCAAAATTGTCACTACGAGTATATAAAATAATTTTCAGGTCGACCACATTGGTCGGCCGTTCTAATGCAGCCCGCTTAAACGTTGAGTTCGTATCACTTTCGTAGTGTGTGTGTACATAGACTCTGCGTCTTTCTTGGTTATCTTATGTTGTCTTATGCATGTTGATCCTTTGTCTGAGGTGTCCTATCAAATGTCTGGCAACTAAATTAAATATAAACCTCTACGCCGTTAACCGAAAACTTTAGAATATGGTACGTCATGATGGAACATGTGAATGTAAACGTTTCTGTCGAGGCATAACCATATGGTCATACAGTATCCAATGGGATTCGTTATCTACGTATTACGACACAACGACAATGAAAATAAATAAAAGTAGATGATTTGAAATAAGGGATGGGAGAACGAAGGGGGGGGGGAACTCCGTGATTTTAGTCCGCAAGCGAACTATACCGACCGAGCGACTGCCGCTTGTCGGCGAAGTTTAGTGCCAGCCTTTGCGGATAGAGGGTGTCGCGTGGTCAGCACAACGATTCCCCACGGCCGTTAATTTCGGTTACTTGACCGGAGCCGCTATTTCCTTGAAATAGCTCCTCAATGATCCTCACGAGGCTGAGTGCACCCCATTCCAGACCCACTACTTCTCAGAAAAATATCTGGTAGCTCCGGGAATCGAACCCGTACCTCTGGATCTGTAGCCAGGATCGCTGTGGTCGAAGGAAAGAAAGAAAGAAAAAAGTGGGTGATTAGAAATAAACGAAGAAAGAAAGAAGAAAGGGGTAAGGGGCAAGAAAGTACGGTAGAAAGAAAGACAATCGTTCTGCAAAACTGGAAGCAAAGGTACTGGCCTTATTATCAAAATGGCAAGAAACTGAATTGCGTGAAAATTAGTAACTTAACAGAATACAGTGTTTTCCAGTACCACATGCGACGCGCAGACGCACAACGTATCTAACTATATACATAAGGTGTTAACTGTGGTGGTTGCAACAAATAAATCGAAACGTACACTGAACTTTCAGTACTTACGATTGTCCAAGCCATTCGTGGAATTTTATCGGTCCCATCGTTGTTTCAGCCCAGAAATTTGGCACCAGTGAACCTAGCCTCATGTCCGAGTTCCACACGAAACACACATAAGAAGAAACTCTACTGCTTCTGGCCTTGTCGATGTCCAGACTGTTACAGGCCTATTACAGAGAACTTGTTGGTTGTCCTTTGAATAGCATTAGTATGGGCCTGAGGCACAGACCCTCGTTGGGAGCGTGTTTGCTTTTAAATAAAGAGATCTCGAATGCCTTCTGTGTCAGGCAAAGTAAAACTGTTATCTTAAGGCTCGGAGATGGGCCCGGTTTATCAGACCAGTGTATCTCAGGGCTTCCCAACTTGGCCTTCAGCTTGTCCAATCATGTCAATGGAAAACCAAACAGCTCACAATTTAAATGTTTAGCATGCCACTGACATAACATTCTTATGGTTCCGTATTACTGCTTACGCAGCTTGTTATGACGACACAGGTTGCATCCTACATGACTAGAATTCGAGTGTACAACTGAAGAAGGGTGCCATTTTGTGTTTCTCTGTTTACGAACAACGCAATACAATCAAACAATGCATAGTTCACACGACACGTTCCTCAGAAGGGTCGCGGGAAAACTGGGTTCAGCAGTGTGGGTAATATTTTACATTGGGATCACTGATTAGTTCTGAAACTGATTAACTCCATGTGGCAGAGTCCTTTAAAAGCTGATAGTCGCCGAGTATATCAAGAAATTCTCTGCATTTTATGGAAACAATTTTTTTACCGTGTTTACAACAGTCCGTCATTGGGCTATATCCTCAATCAGCTGAATCCGGTCCACACCCTCACATCGTACTATTTATAACCATTTTAATATTATCCTCCCATCTATTCTTAGATTTCGTAAGTGGTATCTTCCCTTCATTTTTTCAAATACATGTTTTATATGCATTTCTCATCCAATTATTAATAATAATTAGAAAAGAAATGCCGCGCGGTCTAAGGCATGAACTGTCTTCGCCCGCTCGAATACTAGGATCATGGGTTCGAATCCCACTCAAGGCATGGATGTCTGTTTGCGCTTGTTCTGTGTTTGTGTAAGGTAGCGGCCTTGCGACGGGCTGATCCACCGCCCAAGGAGTCCTACCGTCTAAAATTAAGAAACTGAAATGAAACGAGAGTTTTACGGATGCCCTATGTTCCAAGTGGGAGTAATAATAATAATAATAATAATAATAATAATAATAATAATAATAATAATAATAATAAGAAGAAGAAGAAGAAGAAGAAGAAGAAGAAGAAGAAGAAGAAGAAAGGGTACGAAGAGAAACGCTTTAATTATCTGACACGTCAATATATCGGCACCTGTCCAAAAGAACGTGCATGTTAACGAAATATTCGACCAAACCATCCGACAGTCACAGAGTCGGTTTGCAGCAGTTGTGACAGTCCAAACCTGTTGCATTTCCTGTGGACGTTTACTGTTCCCTTCAGTCATTTTTAAGGGATGCCTGATTTATTGACGAGTTACGACATGTCTCTTGTTTCTGAACAGTGGAAAACTGCCTTGTCTTTCATCCAGTTTGAGTGACCAGAAGTGGGACAATGTCACCGCAGGAGGCAAGTCAAAAGTTTTCTGGAGGCGTGAAATTGTCTTTTGACATGTGTAGCTGTCAAAATTTATCGTCAGAAGGGCAGAGCTAAACCCTCTATACTAGAAGATAACCGATTGCATGTGTGAGGTCCGAGATCTGTCTCTGCTTCACATCAGACTCTGAGGTGCCGAAACCTCAACCATTCCTGATGTTCGTCTGTCTGCTTATACACTGCATGCATACACACACAATACAGGCGCAATAAATACATGTACCACATACCTGAGTTATACGGCCGAAAAGATTTACCTACAAGTAAAGTAAAGTAAGCCGAGCGGTCTAAGGCATGCACCGTCTTCGCTCGCTCGGAAGCCTGGATCGTGGGTTCGAATCCCACTCAGGGCATGGATGTTTGTGTGTTTTTCTGTGTTTGTGTACAGGTAGAGGCCTCGCGACGATCTGATCACTCGCCCAAGGAGTCCTACCGAATGTGTAAGATCTAGAAAAGCCGAAGTGAACGGAGAAGTTCATGGAGATAGGCCTAGGCCCACTGGGGCTGTAGTGCCAAGGGAAAAAAAGTAAAGTAAAGGAATCCCTGTAGGGTTGTGAGATGTTGAGGTTCCCACATTTTCTAGACAATCGACTCATAGTTGACAGTAAGGTTGCCAGCCTTACGCGCCGGCCGCGCTTTACTCCCCAGAAGATTCCTGGTACTCATTTCTATTAGAGACTGAGTCGACCCCTGGGTCATAGTGCGGCTGGAAGGATTAGGCAAATTGAAAATATCCAATGACCTCATCGGGATTCGATCCCGCGACCTTCCGGCTTGTAGCATAGTGCCTCAACAAACTACGCTACCGCGTGCCCCCACATATTTACCCCCTTCCAAATTAAATGGAATCTTTTTTTTTTTACTTTGTCTTTTTAAACACTTGAAATCTCACGGAAAGATTATCTAGTCGTTCTTTAGTTACCTTTTCTATCTGAGGATCCAGGGTTTGGGATCATAGTCATTGGATTAGATTAGATTAGGTATTTAGCTTTAGTCCTAACCGTTTTTTTTGGGGGGGGGCTTCACGTTAATGCTCGGGCTTCTGTCAGCAGTTGACACCTCCCAAACCCTGAACACAAACAAAACCCAGGTGTATTTGTCTTACTGCAGCTGTAGTTTAAGCTGAACCAAATCCGAGGCAACTCAGTAATAATATTACGTCATTTACAGACATCTCAAACATCCGACAAGGCAAATCCTGTATTCTGAATATGTAATAAGTATACGTATATTGCCGATCACAGTGGCCGTGCTGTCTAAGGTAAGAACTGTCTTCGCCCGCTCAAACACTGCTATCCTGGGTTCGAATCCCACTCGAGATATGGACGTTTGTTCACGTTTATTCTGTTTGTGTTGTGTGCGTAGGTAGCGGCCTTGCGGCGGGCTGATCCTTTGCTCAAGGAGTCCTACCGACTGTTTATATGAGTAAGAAACTGAAACAGAGGCCAAGGTTCATTATGGACCATAGCGCTCACAGATTATATTATTGTGACGTGTTGCGCAATTGAGGACACACCTCCCTCCCCAGCGGTACGTGGTACGTTACATTATTATGATTATTATATTATAATTATTAAGTATATATTACGTAATGCTCGTGTTGCTTAGTTGAAGCATTCTTTGCGATGTTATACTGATTACAGAGATTATGGTGACAGTAATATAATTATGATTATGAGTTAGCACTGACTTATATAGATAATGGTCGTGGCCTATTTCAAGCTGCCATTCATGTGGCATTTATTTGAACGGAAGGTGAAAATGATGCTAACCGATTTCGCGAATCGAAAACCATACCTCGACCATGCGAGTTATCACAGTTAGGCTCACTACAGTGCAGCTTCTGGATGAAGCGATTTTGCTACAACTGACGCATTGAAAATTACGTAAAATTAAACTGCCAAATCTTGAAGGTTATAATTATAGACATAACAGCTCATAAAATTGAACTGCTTGGCCATTACGCCTTAAATACCATTAAACACCAACTGTTGGTCGGATCGCATTGTATAGAATCATTAACTTATACTATAAATGTATTTCTGTAATTCGATATGTCAATTCGTGTTCACAGTTCTCGAATCCGATTGGAGGTACCTCTACAGACTGCGATAACTAAACGTAAAATATAGGCCACTCCCTCTGTTCACAGTTTGTAACAGAATACACGACTATTGAAAATATATTCGGTATATAGGTACTTCTGTAATGAACTTTGTAGTTGTTGCAGTTTTGCTTCACCCTGCCACTGTTCACAACACAGCCGATGACACAAACAGCACACCACAAATACGACACGTGCTTCGACAGACTCGTCTGTGTGGCTCAACAAGTACGGGAAGCTACGTTTATTCGGTTGATGATGCAACACGGGAGCGTGGCACGATCATTTCGCTCACGATGACGTCCGCTGCCACACAGGAGCAGGCATGCTGACCGTTGCGCAATACTTCTGTATGGCAGGATACAACAGGGCATATACTGCGAACTGAAACACTTGACTTGCGTTTTGTTGCATCTTACTTCTTCAACAGTGTATCAACTGCAGACGTTATGTATAAGTGGTTAGAGCAATTAATAAGTTTTTTTTATTGCTAGTTGGGTGGGACTAGGTCCCTTGTACTGCGGCCACTTCTGGCCTATTGTACCAGCCCCAGATGATAGGTGAGGGTGATTGTGGAGCAATTGGTGGAATGAAGATTGGCAGGGGAAACCGAAGTACTCGGAGAAAACTGCAGTTCAGAGGCAGACTCCTGTGAACACGGCTGTGCAACGTCTGCTTTTGTAAACTGCAGTGGAATAGCTTCACGATTATCAGTTTCTCTTGAAGGATTTTGCTTTATTCAGTTGGTTTGATTAAGGACTCTATTCTGTTTTCTTGACCGCCTCTGTGGTCTAGTGGTCAGCGTTTCTGGCTACGTATCCAGAGGTCTGGGTTCGATTCCCGGCGCTACCAGATTTTTTCTGAGAAGTAGTGGGTCTGGAACGGGATCCACTCAGCCTCGTGATGATAACTGAGGAACTGTTTCAAGGAAATAGCGGCTCCGGACTAGAAAACCGAAATTAACGGCCGTGGGGATTCGTTGCCCTGACCACGCGACACCCTCTATCCGCTAAAGTTGGCACTAACTTCGCCTACAAGCGGCGGTTGGTATAGTTCGCTTGCGGACTAAAATCACGGAGTTTGATCTGCTTTCTTGATAGCTAGTTGTTTCTTAAAGGGGAGGGAAAGGAGTCGAGGTCAGAATTCTCGTTATCAATTCCTGGACAACTTCTGAAGGCTCATAGACACACATTCTTTAAGACGTTTGATACAACTGTGTGTGGCCTGGTTATTCTGGTTCACATTTAAGATTATTTTGAAGCCTGGGTTAGACAGTTAAACATTCATCCCCTTTTAACAAACAAATGTTTATACTTTAAGGCGACTGAACTCGTACCTACCCGATAAAAATGCATACACGAAAGTGAAAGCAGGTGAGAGCTCGTCCAGAAAGCATAACATGCCTGTGCAAGACCGTTGAATTTTTCCAGGCGACTGAACTCTTCGAGACAGAGGCAATAACCGCTACTGCACTTCGTTAGGAAGATCAATTTAGGATGACAAGACTTGGAGGCTGCAGACTCTCTACCGCCCTTCTGAGTCTCTCAAAGCTCCGTAACTCTAACCCCGTCGCAATGTTTTTCGCGAAGATGTGCTTAGAAAACAAGATAAAACATTGGGATTTGTAAACAATCTTGGGATCTTATAATTACATGGTACCACCTCCTCGCATATCTTTCAAAAAGGGCCCATAATCCCATATTAAGACAGAAAGAGAGAGCGTCATAAGAAACGAAGAACAAAAAGTGAAAAGATAGACGGAAAGGAATATGAAATGGAGGAAGAAACTGTGGAGATACCTGGGTGTTGCTTCTGTCTCTAGTTTTATATCCTGAGAATGGAAGCAGAAGATTCCTGCGAGAGATCCGGCCGGGGTTTTCGTGGTTTTCATGATCTATTAAGGCAGATCGATCATTTCAGCTGTTTCCCTCGGTTCTCGGCGTATGTAACCTCAGTGGCATCATTAAACAATCCAAGAAACAAACGCATGGTACTAAGTAGTGCAATAAGCCTAGAGGAATCTAAAATATTCGTAGTTTTCCCACACATTTATTACACATAATCTGCAGAGCCTGCTATAAATATATACGTTCAGTAAGGACTGGCTCGTGAATGAGTTGTGCCCAGTGACGTAACTCATATACGTACTTCTTTTTGTTCACCTGATGCTAGTGGGGTGGGACTAAGTCCCTTGTACTGCGGCCACTTCTGGCCTATTGTACCAGCCCCAGATGATAGGTGAAGGTAATTGTGGAGCAATTGGTGGAATGAGGATTGGCAGGGGAAACCGAAGTACTCGGAGAAAACCTGCCCCAGCCCCACTTTGTCCACCACAAATACCACTTGACCAGAATCAGGACGGAACCCGGGTCGCCGCGGTGGGAAGCCAGCGACTAACCGCTTGAGCTGTGGCGCGGCCTCAGCCATGTAGTTCATTGAAAGTCAATCGAAGTTTCGGAGGAACATGTCGCTTGCTACCTGCTTCATGATGATTTCTTGCTTGGCTTATTCTTCAACTCTGAAGATGGAGGCGACATGTTCCTCTGAAACGTCGGTTGACTTTCAACGGACTACATGGCGTTATATCCCAGAAGATATAAGTGTACACATAGTCAGATATTGCAGAATGAATATATAAATCAGATATAATAATGTGATACGACGCCTGAAAGCCGGAATAGTGAAGCCAGAGCGGAAGTCCATTGCTAGCCAACGGCTCGCCAAACGCACGTTCCCGCAACAACTAATAGCCGCAGAATAATTCATTGCCAAACGCACGTTATCGTGGCAACAGAATAACAGAGGTACTGTAAGACATGGTGACCTACATTCGTTTCGTCCGAAGTTAGAGAGAGTTCGTTGTGAGTTCAAAACATTCCTTCGTAACAAAGCTCAGAGTTCAGTAGTTGAGTGGTAACGAGCTGAGATTCGTTACCAGGAAATACCTGGTGAAAATAGACATCGAAGAGTTTATTTCGTGTGCTATAATTACAGTAATCTTTAGAGTGTGTAAACCAATGAGACTGCTATAATTGAATATAATTGTAACAGATATGCCAATAAATACAGCCATCCATTCCCAAGCCCGTTCTTGTTAGTCAGGGAAGCCCGGACACGTGACAATTTATCTCCAGTTCCTGGAGCCGATGCGTTTAACAGAATCCAGAATGCCGCGTGTGTGTACCCCGCTGTGAACAGTTGCTGCAAGTACAGGATGATGGCTCACAGCTGCCTGGCCGGCCCCCAGCATCTGTACCTACTCAATAAGTGCTTCACCTGCTGACGAGATGGCGACGTAGGCTTGAAATCAGTCACCTGCCTGTCTTACATTGTTCCTCTTTCTGTGTGCCCCTCCTGAAATTTCATAATTGCCCGCATAGCCTATAAGTTGCAGTAGCTCGAATCTTCTATCTTTATCTTTGATTAATATCGTCAGATTTTATGCATGTGTGTTCTCAACAAATCCGGAACAAATAAAATTCTGTTCCGCCTATGCTTACCATATCATGTTGCGATAGGTTCGCTGCATAAAGAGATGCATATATAATTTACATGCGGTTTTGGCACTAATTAATATGGACGATGTGTACTTCCAGATCGTTTTGTTTTAGATCCTAAATTTAATGATAAGTGGGACATAAAGATAATTCTGTAACAGTTCTTTGTAGCATGTCAGAGATGTGTTACGAAAGATTGACATTTTTTATTATTTCAGTACAGTTTATATCAAGAAAAACAGGACAGAATAACGGGCACTTTCGTAAAAAGGGTAAAACTATCCCTGTAACATGTCGTGAAGACCCATAGGATTTTGAGACGTCAGTGCTTCCACATATTCTAGACAATCGGCTCACAGATGGCGGTGAGGTCAGCCTCACACGCCGGCCGCCCTTTACCCACAAGAAGATCCTGGTACTCATTTCTGTTAGAGGCTGAGTCGACCTCAGCGCCATAGTGCGGCTGGAAGGATTAGATAAATTAAAAAAGTCCAGTGACCTCATCGAGGCTCGAACCCGCGACCTTCCAGCTTGTAGCATAGTGCCTCAACCAACTACGCTACCGCACGGGCACTAGTATTTAAAGTAATTATTACCGGTCATGGATATAAAACCACAGGCTTGCTGAATTTTATTGACCTAGTCGAACCGTTACACAGTCTGGCTGTCCACACTCAAATGTCGATATACTCACCATCAAAGTAAAGGGGCTCTAAGTACGGGAGTGAAACTGCGGGATCTTGAACTGTTCAAGCGGACAGCCTTCAGGAGTCCGTCACGCAGTCGAAATTGCGCAGATAGTCCATCTGATCTTGAAAAGTGAAGTGTCAGTTATGTAAAGAAGGCAAATTTAAAGTTGTCCCTGCTCTTAATTAATTAGGCACCACGCCATGAAGATGTATTGGGGGAATGGAGGCATAGCTCCACCATTCTTCTCCTCGGCATTAGATGGAGGTTTTGCTGCGACGGTATTAATTTTAGATTACAAAATTTGATCGGAATTATAAGAGTGTGTCCCCAACATAACTCAATATTTCCCAGGTTTGAGTCATGTTCTATCTACATTGGTATGTTGCTGAGACGCGGTAGCGTAGTTGGTTGAGGCACTATGCTACAAGCCGGAAGGTTGCGGGGTCAAATCCCGATGAGGTCATTGGATTTTTTCAATTGACCTAATCCTTCCGGCCGCCCTATGGCCCTGGGGTTCACTCAGCCTCTAACAGAAATGAGTACCAGGGGAAGTAAAGCGCGGCCGGCGCGTAAGGGCGGGTACTCACTACAACGCTGCGACGTGCTGCAACCACGTATGATGTGTACGTTCACCGAACCCAAACTCGAACACTAGTTGCTCCGCAGAGTTCGTAGTGAAGACATGAATTATGAAATGTCTCTCCACACGTCAACGAACACTGCACGCCGCTTTGTGTTCGCCAGAATACTGCATAATGAGGAGCTTCATAACTTATACTCTTCACCAAGTATAACTAGAATGATCAAGTCACGGAGGATGAGATGAGCAGGGCATGTAGCACGCACACGGATAAGCTGAATTCATATAGGGCAGTGGTGGTTAAACCAGTACGAAGAACTAGACGTGGGTGGGAGGATAAGATTAAAATAGATCTGAGAGAGATAGGGTGGGATTGAATGAATCGGTTTGATCTGGCTCGGGATAAGGACCAGTGGAGGGCTCTTGTGAACACGGGTTCCATAAAATGTTGGGAATTTTTTGAG